AAAGGCTAATCGATCAATTCTTTTCTTGTTTGTTTGTTTTTGTTTTATCAAATGCGCAGATTTTCATTTGCTTGAACAATATCTTGGTCAAAAATATTAAACGTGAAATATCTAAATTAAGAAAAGAGAAAAAGAGAGCAAAATAGTTAATAAAATATCTTGAATATTACAGTACTTACAAAACTCAATGCGATTAGACAAAAATGTTTCTGGTAACAGTTGAAACTTCCCTCATAGCGCTATCACCTATCAACACAAGGGTTTCGTGATTATGGTGTTTGGTAGGGAAAGCTTTTTGGAAGCAGGCAGACTATTGTATTTCACTGTGAAGAAAGCGATATTGTTGTTATTTTGTACATACGGGTTTCCATAGAAATGCATCTATATATTAATACAGTAGGCTGACGAAGCCGCATTTCCAATAATGAACAGACCCACGATCATGGACCAGTATCGCTTACGATATCGCCGTGGGCCGCAGCATCGTCGTTAATACTATAGTTTATTGATTTGCATACGAGTTTTTGCGAGATTTAGCGAGATAACCAACGGGGCACCATATGTCTACTGCGGATTTCTACTCTCAATTTTAGTATGTAGACAAGAACACCCAGCCAATCAAATGTATGGAGTCTGTTACAGAGTCCATCTGTCTCCTCTCATCCGTATCTCCTCTTACTGTCTCTGTTACTCAAGACCCGAGCACGCATTTCTGTTTCGAATTAAGCTGTATTCCGTACTCTGTTGGTTTGAAGGTCATTTTTGTCCGGCGTTTGTCTCATTGAGATACAGACTGTACACGGGTTACCATGACAACTGAAGTGTATGGTATTACTTGTTGCTTGGAACTTAATGTCTTGTGTTGAAGGACCAGAAAATATTCCTGTTATTGCGATTCACTACAGAGAAAATGTGTCTGTGTTAGTTTGGTAATATGGATGTTTGTTGATTAAATGTCGAGATCCTCTTTCAGCTAGATATTACTTAATACCGTCGATATGGAGTTAATATCCGTCCGTCAGACTGTAGAACAATATACATATATATATATATATGAACATCGTGATTTTCTACGGTCGAATTCATGTTATCGTTTCAAGAGGAATTTATGGACAAACACGAAATCCACAAGAGATAAGAAATAATTCACAAATTGACCCGAAACCTACTGACACAATCCAATATGTGCTGTACACAGAGTTACCCTGTTATAATGAAAATATAAAAGAGATATTGAGGTTTGATGACAGAGAAGATACAAGTAAAACGAATTCAGCGAATTTAAAAGTCAGCGTTGAAGAAAACTAGAAAATTAATTTCTCGTGAAAATCGTTAGATAAAGGATAAAGAATGAAATCAGTGCATTGCACTTTGCACAGGTAGCCTTAAACACCAAAGGAAATAAAGATATCTAGAGTTATTTCCCTTAAGAAAAATTAGAGATTCTCATTGGTCGATCATTTGTGACGTCATTTCTAAGCATATTTTCATCAGAAGTGTTTATGAAGGTCGAGTGCATTAAATCGTCTATATTTAATTAGTAAACACGTCCAACACTTCAAAGTTTATTTGCAGGTTATTTTTATCCCGATATGTGACAATGGCGACCACTGACGTGATCCACGCTACGATCCAACCCCTTTTTAAACTTTTGTGCGATATGTTTTACTTTCTATGTTTCCTAGCATACACGTACACATAAATACCATATTGCTATGTCTACAGCTTGCTTTCACCACGCATCCTCCGCTTTTTAAAAATACTTCTGTACTTGATAGGAAAATAACTGTTTGTTTCTTTAAATTGTATCATGCTGGAATATTTACTTCCACACCGAGGGCAATACACGTGCAAATATATACTCAAGAGGTTAAACTATCATTAACAGGAAATTTTCAGTGTTTGCCAATTGATAAACATGGTATTGATTGAATCAATCAGAATCAATCAATAAATCAATCAATTAATCAATCAATCGTACTTGTCTCAAGTATGTACCATCAATAAAAGGATAAAATATACAAGGACATTGACATTCCTACGGGGTGACCTTTCTTGTGTGTTACGAGATCACGAACTGCCATCGGCGTAGAAATACTGAAAACAGTAATAAATTTTCCTCTCCTAACATTGAAGAAGTAAACCTTGAGCTTGCACTCGGAAGTCACTGCTTAAATGAATGAATGATGATTGACTGGATACAAGGAATAATTCGTACCCTTATGTCATTTTTGTCCCAAACTAGTTGATATATGTATCAATATTACATATGGACACATTTGCGTATTAATGACGTCATATATATTTATCTACAAAGTCTTGACATGTTGATCGATCTGACCACACCTTCCCCAATCTTTTATATTCCCCTTACCATACTGAAATTGCGCTGTGTATCATACACTAATGGTTGTAAATGTGTAAATAAACCTGTTAACACGTTCACGTTAAAAGTGCGCTTGTCTCTGCTCAGTAACAAATGTTTGTCCGTGTTATCCTTACACTAAAATTCAGGAAACGTGCACTTTTCGCTTGAACTCGTTGATTACTAAAAAGCTTATTTTTTATAAGTTCACTGCATACAGACCGACCGTTAATTCAATGCTTGTTCTCATAAATTATTTGGGAAACGCCATGTCCTTCCATTTTCTCTTTACCTACACAGTAAAAACTGTATGTCTTTTTACCTACAGAGTAAATACTGTGTGTCTCTTTACATACAGAGTAAATATTGTGTGTCTCTTTACCTACAGAGTAAATACTGTGTGTCTCTTTACCTACACAGTAAATACTGTATGTCTCTTTACCTACAGAGTAAATTCTGTGTGTCTCTTTACCTACAGAGTAAATACTGTGTGTCTCTTTACCTACACAGTAAATACTGTGTGTCTCTCTACCTACACAGTAAATACTGTGTGTCTCTCTACCTACACAGTAAATACTGTGTGTCTCTCTACTTGTTGAGTAAATTCTGTGTGTCTCTTTACCTACACAGTAAATACTGTGTGTCTCTTTACCTACACAGTAAATACTGTGTGTGTCTTTACCTACACAGTAAATACTGTGTGTCTCTTTACCTACAGAGTAAATACTATGTGTCTCTTTACCTACAGAGTAAATACTGTGTGTCTCTTTACATACAGAGTAAATATTGTGTGTCTCTTTACCTACAGAGTAAATACTGTGTGTCTCTTTACCTACAGAGTAAATACTGTGTGTCTCTTTACCTACATAGTAAATTCTGTGTGTCTCTTTACCTACAGAGTAAATACTGTGTGTCTCTTTACCTACACAGTAAATACTGTGTCTCTCTACCTACACAGTAAATACTGTGTGTCTCTCTACCTACACAGTAAATACTGTGTGTCTCTCTACCTACACAGTAAATACTGTGTGTCTCTTTACCTACACAGTAAATACTGTGTGTCTCTTTACAGTAAATACTGTGTGTCTCTTTACCTACACAGTAAATACTGTGTGTGTCTTTACCTACACAGTAAATACTGTGTGTCTCTTTACCTACACAGTAAATACTGTGTGTCTCTTTACCTACACAGTAAATACTGTGTGTCTCTTTACCTACACAGTAAATACTGTGTGTCTCTCTACCTACACAGTAAATACTGTGTGTCTCTCTACTTGTTGAGTAAATTCTGTGTGTCTCTTTACCTACACAGTAAATACTGTGTGTGTCTTTACCTACAGAGTAAATACTGTGTTTCTCTTTACCTACACAGTAAATACTGTGTGTCTCTTTATCTACACAGTAAATACTGTGTGTCTCTTTACCTACACAGTAAATACTGTGTGTCTCTCTACTTGTTGAGTAAATTCTGTGTGTCTCTTTACCTACACAGTAAATACTGTGTGTCTCTTTACCTACACAGTAAATACTGTGTGTCTCTTTACCTACACAGTAAATACTGTGTGTCTCTTTACCTACATAGTAAATACTGTGTGTCTCTTTATCTACACAGTAAATACTGTATGTCTCTTTACCTACACAGTAAATACTGTGTGTCTCTCTACCTACACAGTAAATACTGTGTGTCTCTTTACCTACACAGTAAATACTGTGTGTCTCTCTACCTACACAGTAAATCCTGTGTGTCTCTCTACTTGTTGAGTAAATTCTGTGTTTTTGTTTTGTAAACGAGTTTTGATTTTGTTTCTTTACTCGCTCAGTATAAAGCTTTTTTTGGTTTGGTATTTTGACTCGTTCATTAATTTTTTTCGTTTTTGTTGTTCACTTGTCCTTCACATTTTGTCTGTTTCGGTGGTCACTTGTCCTTCACATTTTGTCTGTTACGGTGGTCACTTGTCCGCCACATTTTGTCTGTTACGGTGGTCACTTGTTCGTCACATATTGTCTGTTACGGTGATCTCTTGTCCGTCACATTTTGTCTGTTTCGGTGACACTTGTTCGTCACATTTTGTCTGTTTCGAACGTCACTTGTCCTTCACATTTTGTCTGTTTCGAAGGTCACTTGTCCGCTACATTTTTTCTGTTACGGTGGTCACTTGTCCGTCACATTTTGTCTGTTTCGAACGTCACTTGTTCGTCACATTTTGTCTGTTTCGAACGTCACTTGTCCTTCACATTTTGTCTGTTTCGAAGGTCATTTGTCCTTCACATTTTGTCTGTTTCGAACGTCACTTGTCCTTCACATTTTGTCTGTTTCGGTGGTCACTTGTCCGTCACATTTTGTCTGTTTCGGTGGTCACTTGTCCGCCACATTTTGTCTGTTACGGTGGTCACTTGTCCGTCACATTTTGTCTGTTTCGAACGTCACTTGTCCGCCACATTTTGTCTGTTACGGTGGTCACTTGTCTGTAGTATCTCTCTCCATTTTGATATTCGTGTTCCTAACCGTAAAATTCAATCAATAATATCACTTTTCTCAAAATTCCTCTCCTCAAAGCCTCTTCATGTTTTCTATAAGTTTTGCCAGCTTTGTCTCACCTTCTTTGTTAAAATGTGTCCGTTTTTGTGTTTACAGTAGACCGGAGTGACGGTCCAATTCAGTGTTACGATTGTCTGTCGTTCTCCACCATTGATAACTACTGTGGCGACCCCTTTAATGAAACCAACAAGGGAGTTAAGACAATTTCATGTTACGGTTTCTGCGTCAAATGGGTCCGTAATGTCCGCCCAGGTAAGTCGTCCGCAAAGCTGATTTCTCGTTTGATTGATTGATAGGTCTTCAGAAGACGTCCGACTTTACGGTGATAGGCGAGGGGTCTAACTGCGAGTAGCACTATTACTCTGTCATAATAAATTCATAACTATTTTGAAAAAAAGAGATGTTCATGTTTTAGAGAAAATCTATCGTGAGTTTGTGTATAAAAACAGAATGTAGGGATTTGTTTGGTAAATTTTGTGTTAAAATGTGTTCGGCTGGGTTGTCGGGTAAATATCAGTGAAAGTTTGTCAGAATTCTTGGTATGTATTTGTATTTTACTTATATCATAGATCCGGGTTTTCGTATTCATTTGAAAAAAATTTGCCCTAAGTTACCTTATTATCAATATAACCATGTGAAGCGTCATATGTAAATCATGTTATAATATGTACGTATGTAATATATCTATCTTATATTACAGGTGTGATGCGCTACCAGGTGTAACATGATGTACATATGTAATATTTATCTATCTTATATTACAGGTGTGATGCGCTACCAGGTGTAACATGATGTACATATGTAATATTTATTTATCTTATATTACAGGTGTGGTGCGCTACCAGGTGTAACATATGTAATATTTATCTATCTTATATTACAGGTGCGATGCGCTACCAGGTGTTACATGATGTACATATATAATATTTACCTATCTTATATTACAGGTGTGGTGTGGTGCGCTACCAGATGTAACATATGTAATATTTATCTATCTTATATTACAGGTGTGATGCGCTACCAGGTGTAACATGATGTACATATGTAATATTTATCTATCTTATATTACAGGTGTGGTGCGCTACCAGGTGTAACATATGTAATATTTATCTATCTTATATTACAGGTGCGATGCGCTACCAGGTGTAACATGATGTACATATATAATATTTACCTATCTTATATTACAGGTGTGGTGTGGTGCGCTACCAGATGTAACATATGTAATATTTATCTATCTTATATTACAGGTGTGATGCGCTACCAGGTGTAACATGATGTACATATGTAATATTTATCTATCTTATATTACAGGTGTGGTGTGGTGCGCTACCAGGTGTAACATATGTAATAATTATCTATCTTATATTACAAGTGTGGTGTGATGCGCTACCAGGTGTAACATAATTAATATTTATCTATCTTATATTACAGGTGTGATGCACTACCAGGTGTAACATGATGTACATATGTAATATTAATCTATCTTATGTTACAGGTGTGGTGCGTTACAAGGTGTAACATGATGTACATATGTAATATTTATCTCTCCTATATTACAGGTGTGGTGCGTTACCAGAGGACCTGTTCCTCTAACTTGACCATCACTATGAACATTAACGCCGTGTGTATAGCCGAGTCAAGACCCCGAACAGGCAATATCTGTTTCTGTGAAAAATGGAAATGTAATGCCGGGACGTCTTTAAAACCTGAAACTCACGTGCGATCCCTGATGACGTTTATTACCCTAGTAATACTTCTCACTTGCTTCCGATAGAGGAGAATGCACGTGTAGACAAAATTCACTTGACGTGCAGATTGGCACTATTAATGGCCTTTGTGTATAAAAAACTGTCTGCTAAAATATAGAATTCCTGATTGTTTTATGTCAGGTATCACGTGATAATATGGCGGGAACGATTATTTAACAATACAAGTGTTTAATGTGATACACGTCACGTGATTACCTGTTCCCATCAGGTAAACAGGATTATAATGTGAGGCACCTTCGTCCAGAAAAGTGATGTAACCTAACATCTCAAAATTGTTTTTGAGAAGTGAGAGCGTTATGGAATGTATATAGCTCTGATTCCTTTTAGTGGATTTAGTTTGATAGAGTTTTCCACCTTCCTTGATACATAATACATACACTTTTCAATTATGACGAATGAAATGTAATTTCCATTACGTCATACCGATTATGACGTCACCATGTTACGGGACGGTTTTGTTATAACCGGATGTGACGCAATCGGATGTGTACTTATAAAGTGTGATGCAACCACTTGTGGTTACGCGTCCATTCATGATGTTCATGTTTGGTTGGTACCGGATGTGACGCAATGAATTAATCAACCTCTTTTTTCTTATATTTGGCATAAGAATTTAATAGGTCACCTTGTAGAACAACTAATGTATCAATATTCACATTTTAAAAATTCTTTTTTTCCTTTCGGTAGTTACAATGATAGGTATATTTAATTGTCACCTGAACATGTGCACAGAAATTTGATAAATATATCTGTTTTTAAACAAATATTAAAATCACCTTCTTATATCTAAAGTTTACATTTCAAAATATACTGTTAATTCTCTAATGATAGTTCGTCATCGCCTTTCGAGTTAGCCATATCCGGAGACGGTTTCGTGATTAGTTGTAACATTTGGTCGTTAGCCCTACCTTCTTCCGATCTATGATAAATGGGCGTTTAATTGATAAAATCTTACCAATTAAAAATCACTAAAATATTGTTCCATTTGAAATATTATTCAGGACTATTTTATACAGACATCTTAGTCAAGTCTTATGTATTAAGAAATATCACACATTTTTGCCTGAATCTCGACTGGATGAAACCACAAACAAAATATTTGAGCATGTTTTTTGTCAACCTTGAACCATTTAGGGAGTTTGAAATAAAAGACAAGATGTTTCCATGGCATCTACTGTCTTTATTTCCACCGTTATAACGTCTATCACAGTAAAATGATGCGTTAAAGCTTGAAATTCCTCCGCTGCTTAGTATCGATTGTACAGACCGGAAATTCCAAGGGCTAACAAAATCATAAATTCTTATGACTAAAGTATTTTAAACCCGAAAAACTTTCGGTTTTGGATCTGACTCGAAAGGTAGCTATGGATTCTCATCCTTTTTGTCTTTCCGTTTTCATTATTGTCCATTTTTCTCCCTTGAGGTTGAGCGAGGGAAGAAATGTTTGTGAAGCTGCTCTGGTAGATTTAACAGTATGAGAGTGTGTGTTTACATACAATATAACCTGTATCCTAAATACGTTTTTTCACGTCAGTTTCACGAAGATGGAAGGCACACCTTTCATCGCATGTGAACTATACATCCACTGTTTTACGTTGTATTATGTACATTAATTCAGACGACACTTTATTCTTTTTATTAATTTTGAATTTATATAGTTGTCATGGGCGCCTTGTGGTAATCTCATTAGTATTTACAGGCGCTAAATACAGTATATCATTATCGTATGTTTCATATTGCTTATTTGATTTTGAAAATTTTAAATGCATGATTAGATAAAAAGTGATATATGTGTACATATAAATCAGAAAACAGAGCATGCAATGACACGTGATAGAACTACATGTAGTGTCCGTAACACATTGACTTCATCACCGAACGTTTCACATACCAAAAAAACCTCACGAGAGCCCGTCATAGGGTGACGTCATTGAAACGTCATATATAGACCTGGTCGTATTTCAAATCAAGGGCAATAACTCTGAAAGTCTTGCTATCAGAAATCCTTAAACTTAGCTATAAATTAAGAGAATTTTCTTAGATGTGGGTGTTTAAATCAGATAAGTAACTGTAATTAAATTCAAGCCGAGATGAATCGTTCAAACAGACGCCGATATTAGAACTTAAGCTGATAACTCGTCAAAGTGAAACTTGTTCATCATAGCGGGACATACAGGCCCACTCAGAAATCGTCATAAGTGTGTTTTAGCAGGGTCCGTGACGACATGACGCTAGCTTGGATTTCGTCATAAATGGAATCGGAGAATATCCGTCTATACTGGTGAACAGTCAGTTATTTTCCACCAATATGATTACGCATAGTTAAAGTTTCTGATGACTCGTTGTGTAAAGAAAGCTCTTGACTTTTGTGTTTTATAATACCAGTTGTGACGGTGTTTATTTTGAGTAAGACTTTCAGCCCTTATCAGACGGCATCGTTTGGTGCATATTCGCTATAGATTCGAGAAACTAATAGAAAAATCAGCATCATCATCAATTCATAATTCAAATCGTCATTAAAAAAAACAAAGATGATGTTCTTCCATTGTTCCAATCTTCTTTGTTGATTATATAATACAGCGTTGCTATGGTGACGGATAATCTGTACACAGGGTGTGGTTTTGTTGACACTCCAAAGATTATCCGTCATAGCGAGCATATTCCTTGTACGTAGAGACGTAGAATTGTTAGATATCGCGAAACTGTTTTTCTTTCTTTTGTGTACATAACAATGCCTCTGCGATTCGACCACTTTAGTATATGACTATATTTGGTCCGTTTACGTCATGTGACGTATGGCGAATGGTTAGGTCCTCTATATAATTCGGATTATTTGGTCTGTGTGCGTCATGTAACGTATATATAAGACTCTGTAATCCGGATTCACTGGTCTGTGACGTCATGTGACGTTCAAATTTCGTACATTTTGGTGTTTGTACACAATGGGTGTATTTGTTTGTTTGCTGGCATTGATGCTTGCTTCAAATATTCGCAGTTGGAGTTTTTGAGTCAACATAGTGTTGCTGGTATGTAGTCACTAAAACTTTTCAACTAGAACTTGTATCACTAATAATGTTTAGTTATTCTATTCATCTTCACGATGTACACACCGAGATGTACGTATATCTTTTCCTGAAATATTCTCTTTTACGAAAAAATATTCTTTTCCTATTATATAATCAAATACGTTATCGAAATTGCATATCCGGAATATTTCACCTTTTTTTTTTAGACAATCCCTAGAAAGATATATCGTGAATAGAAGGAACAGTAAAAGTGAAGCAGCGTTGTTTTATATCATCTTTGTTGGTCTTTGCACTTTACATTTCTCTTTGTGATATTTAAAATACCGTAGTAATATAAATAGGATATCATAATACAGTATATATCAGTAATTAAATCAATGTGGGTTGTCCGCTGGATGCTGGAGAATCTCTGACAGCTACTTTCTTGCTTTAAATTGTCTCTCATGTTTTTAATCTGATTTTGGGACTCTGTGCATTGATGATGAATATATGAATGAAAAGAGAGAGGGAGAGAGAAAGATTAATGGAAAAAAAACTACAAAATTGTTTGTCAAATTAAAAAAATTAACATTAAATTTAAGATAATTTATACTGGGCACCTTAAATATCTTTCCGGTTGTAGAGTCGAGCTTATTTAGATGATACTTGTGGGATAATCTATATATCAAACACAATTTATAAGTGTTTTTTTCAAAGTTGAAAATTGTCTTGGCAAAACAACAATTTCATCAATTTTATCATTTAAATGTATTGACAATGCGTCAGTACAGTCATTCAGATTTTTCCCTTTTCTTTTTCTATATAAATATTTTAATTTCGGGATTGGAAAGAATCTTTAATTTTAAACATTTTTTGATATTACTGATGGAATATATTCAATCACTGAACAGTAACACGTTGTTGCGCACTTTCGGTTTTGACCGGAAGCGCATATTAGCGATGTTAGCCTCGTTGTCGATTAAGACTCGGGAGCATTTGGTTTGCTTTCGCTAACACATTTATCTCAATTATATGCAATCTCTGTTCCTATATTTGCGTGTCATTTGCACCTAAATTAATTGTTTGTAAGGCATTTTCATTAAAATCAAAAGAATTGGTTTTCTCTTCCTGTTATTTATTCCACGCAATATGCATTTGCAATTGACGCAGGGTTTCCTTTTCATTAATTTGGTAACAATATTTTAATTCTTACTTTCTCTATTCAGATTAAAATTTGATCGAATTTCTATTCATAATTTCATGAAACTCATCTGTCAGAGTTTTCCAATAGAGGTCTTAAGAATAACGAGACAAGTCTCCAAGGAACTTAGTAATTAAGGCAATCCTGCAGACACACAAAGGATATTTATTTTGCAAGAAGATGCTTTCATGTCATTTTCATATATCGTGCTATTTAAAACATCTGATTCAAAGGAATTTGACTGGCAAGGCGGTGATATATAAAGAATTGTTTTACTGTAATTAATCTTACTATCTTAATATTGGAGTGAAAGTATCGAGTCTTAAGAATGAAACTGAAAAAAATGTCGAAAACTGATGTAGTAGGTCATCGAACTTATAGCTGGTTTCAGATCAAACGGCCTTAAAGATACCCAAAAACGTTCATTAACTGACCTTAAAATATCTTAACCACAGTTTTTATCATCATAAGGGAATAATGGTTTATTCTTGGCCGATTATTGATCCTACATGACTCTGGAAGCCCCAAATAGGTCACACAGTGGTTTTTCAATTTTTTTTGGTACACCAATTTTCTGACATGTATCGGATATTGTAGAGACTATGTCTGTAAGGAACGGGGATATACTGCTGAGTTAGTATGGCTATTAATACAAGATATAGGCGACTGACGGCAAGCCCGTGACAAAGAGTTTCGAGAGATGCAGGAAAATGAAGATTACAGAGATTTTTTATGAGCAGAAGACGCTTACCATTCCGGACGACCTGGTCGTTATCTCGTTGTATTTTTCCACTTTGTCTTTGTGTGCAATTCTTTGTTTTGTTCATAGTTTACCCTAGTTTCATGGAATCACTGTTAAAAACAAAAACATAATCTCTATTGCAACAACGGAAGACCAAAAATACATCCTCTCTAGAAATGATCGTTAACCTGAAACCTACGATCAATGCAAGCAAGAGTTATTTTCTACTGAAACAAACCGTATTTCTGCAAACATTTACCTCTGAATTTCCTAGCTCGAAAAGAAAAGCGTTCAAAACAAAACCAAGAGAGACAACTCTTACAATGTGCGCTGCCAAAACTATTCCATTACCTCTTTTCGACGAATTCAGTCATTGGAACAACTCTCACGAACTTTCGCTAGCCCAAAGTGAATAACATTTTTCTGTTTACAATTGGGTCAGCATCTAGATATTATCGATGTATCGCTTTTATCACTTTAACAAAGGTGGGGTGTCAACTGGGTCGGTGCATATAGTCCCTCATTATTTTGTGTACTCCTAAGGAAATCTAAGGTTTCAAATCAGGAACAGTAAAATATACACGTGACTTTCAAAGTTCCTACAAACTGAACTGGAGTGAGAATTGCAGTTTTTTTTCTGGTAAATGAGGTCATGAGATTTAAGTTATAAAAAACTGATAAAGGAGGTCACGGCCACATAGTTTTTGTCGGGTCTATATTCACATGAAATACCTTCCATTATACTAAATGACGACAGTCCTACCTGACATATTGCTGACCATTACTGATCCTATAGGTCACGGAAACCCATAACAGGGAGACTAGTGTATTTCAAATTTAAACAACTTAACCCTAACAGTAACCATTATATGTTTATCTAATGATAAAACACTTTTGCTGAGTCCTTTACAACACGTGATATGCGTTCTCGCGATATTCGCAGAGATGTAAGGTTTTGCATGACGTCATACATTTACAGCTGACTCACGCAGCACCCACTGGTCGTAAGTTAGTGCAGCTTAATGACGCCATTTCCGTACCAATTAAGTAGCCCAAAATTTGTTTTTCATTTACGAAAGCATTGCGACTTTAAGGTGAGACTTGCAGCGAAATTAAGGGAAAGAATAGGATAAGGGACACACACCGATATTTTAAATAAGTGTGCGCATTGTTATCGGTAATCACGTGTGTGTTTTTCTTAAACTTGTCGACGTAAGTATAAAATTATTCTAAGTACACGTGGTATCCTCTGCTTTTCTAAAACCAACATATTCCGTGCCGCAAATCGCCGTTTTCCTTGATCATACCTAGTCCTTCAGATAATGCTGGTCCTACATCCGGCCAGGGAAACTAGACACGTGATCTTCCTTTTGTCTGCGAACTTTGAATTCGATAGACTGCCAGATGTCACAAGGTGAATCGGTGATAATTATAAATAAACGATTGTACAGGGTGATTCACATCACCATCTCATCTACCAATATCAATTTTAAACGATACAGCCGAGTTTAATGAAAACGATCACTTTAACACAGATACAAACATTTTTTTACAGAAATACAAAACATACTTTTATCTTTATTCTTGTAGAATTTATACCTGTTCTCATAAATCACATAATATGTTCAATGTGACGTCCTTTCTGCGAAATGACGATGTTGAGCCTTTTCTTAAAATTGTTGATCGTGTCCTTGTAGATTTCAACCGTAATTCTACTAATTGCTTTCAGGCCTGAGATTGTACAATTTGTCCTTCAAATAACTCAAAAGAAAAAGTCCAGCGTGTTCAGATCCAGGAAGTGGGGAGGCCATACATGATTTGTCCGCTAGGAAAAGCAATTTCTCCAAATGTGTCCTGAAGCCACTTCTGATGTGTGTGACATTGCTCCATCCTGTTGAAACCAAACACCATCAACATCAACAGTTCGCTTTCTGAGTGCGGGAAGGAATTTACTGTTTTACATGTTTAAATACCGTGCACTGTTTACCGATGGTGTTTTTCCTTCTGATTCAAAGAAAAATGGTACATTTACACCAACCGAACTCAGCACAAACCAGCTTTTCACTTTGTCATTAATGCAGCTTCTCTTTCAGAAACTATACACTATCGGCGATATTCGTGTTGTCAGTCATCCGATGAGCAAACAGTAGTCTCATTGTAACATCTGTATCCTTCAAATGTTGTATCACTGGCTCTTTGTTTGGAAACAGCTTCCAGTCAAACCGTAACATTCTGTAAACACTTCCATAGCTGGGGCTTGAATTAGCAGATATTTTCAATGTCACCTAGCACTTTATTAACTGACCTCTCTGGAGTTTCCGATATAATTTTCTGAACAGCCTCAATGTTCTCCGCGCACCTGCTAATTCGTGTACGTTCTTGGTTCTGTTGTCTTCCACAGATCCCGTCTGCTGGAATTTCTTTACAGGCCGCAGACCTTTTATACCCAGAGATGTCCGTGCACGTTTCCAAGCAAGGATTGGACTAAAATATCTACCACTCCCTTCGATACAATGCCGGGAAATTATCGTTAGCATAGGGGGAGGTCGCGGAAGCATTCTAATATACATTTATATATATTATTTCAGCATGGATTTTTTTTATCTTGAATGGACAGCTTTAACGTTGCTGCGGAGTAAAATCAAAGATTTCAGTATTAGAGGTATGGAATTTGTAAATAATTTACTGTTTCATGATGATATATAACATCAATGCTAAGGTTTCCAAGGGTCGTGAATACTTTTTTCCGCATGACTGATCACTGGTTTACCTGTTGGTATTATAACCATGTTTCAAGAACAAACAAATGTTTCGAACTTTCAAGCGGAAAGCCGAGAAACGGAAAGTGCGAATCCTCGAAGAACCCTGTCACCCTAGAAAGTTTACATTCCTTATTACAGACATGAACATGTCAATCACCACTAAACTTGAGCAGTTCGATGAGATGGCGCTATTAAGCGTTTCGATTCGATATGTGGTTCGATGACAAAGTTGTCTGGAAGAGTTACCTCCCTTGAAAACGAAATCGCGCAACTAAATGTACGGGTATCGGAATATGATTCTGCTGAAAGATCCAGGGAAAGCCTTCGACAGCTTGGCAAAAGACTATAAAGAAAAAAAATGAACAAAATATAAGGAAATTATATGACTACAAGAAATACTGTAACAGGTATAAAGCTGAAAAAGACCATTTGAGATAACGAAAAATAATAAGGAAATGTTGGATCTGATGTGATATACCGATCAATAGAGTAAAATCTTACCTTTTTCTGGCCTACCCGAACACGATCGTAAAAACACGGGAGAAGTGGTAAGATAATTCCCAGACCACTATTTGGGCATAAACACATCGAACTTGTCAATGTTCACAGATTTGGTAGATGTTCGAGTAGAGGTTCTGGTTAAATTTACTTATCAAAAAGAGAGTAACATGGTTCTAATAAACGCTACAAAGTTACGCGGGAAACAATTTCCTCAAGAAATTGAACAAGCTCGCAGGAATCTATATCCAAATTAAACACGTTAAAATGGTGCGTGATGTATTGAACAGGCGTAGGGAGATCACCGACACCTCAGTCTACAGATAATCACGCCCAACGTGACGTCACAGAAACACCAAATAGACGACACAAGGAAGTTACTTAGAATGATTGAATGTTCAGCATTATTTTGTCCGTCAGTTATTATCAATGTTAAATGGGACTGGGGTATAGCAGTAGAAATGTTACGTTTTAGAAGCATGCGCATTTGTTTCCAGTATACTTTGGGGCAAGCTGAGTTATGTTTGGAGTTAACTGAGTTATCTGTGGAGATAGCTGAGTTATCTTTGGGGTTAGCTGAGTTATGTTGGGGGTTAACTGAGTTATCTGTGGAGATAGCTGAGTTATCTTTGGGGTTAGCTGAGTTATGTTTGGAGTTAACTGAGTTATCTGTGGAGATAGCTGAGTTATCTTTGGGGTTAGCTGAGTTATGTTTGGAGTTAACTGAGTTATCTGTGGAGATAGCTGAGTTATCTTTGGGGTTAGCTGAGTTATGTTGGGGGTTAACTGAGTTATCTATGGAGTTAGCTGAGTTATCTGGGGGGTTAGCAGAGTTATCTGGGGTTAGTTGAGTTAACTTTGGGGTTAGCTGAGTTATCTTTGGAGTAAGCTGAGTTATGTTTGGGGTTAACTGAG